AGTGCTGTCAAAGTGCGGAGGCCTAGAGGTATCCATCTCAACCACTCTAAATGGTGTCGGCTCAACGGCGGTTAAGCCAAAGGTCCAAATTGAGCAAACCTGGCTCTGATACCAATTGTAAGGACCATGATGCCTAAGAGGGGGGTGAATTAGGCAACTTAAAAATCTACTTCTTAACTATGGCCTCTTTTTCTAACCTTAGCAAAACCTATGCAAAAGATAAACTATCTAAATGTGCAACTACGGTTTTGCTAATGTATTGCTATCTCTACCGCAAAAGGAGTAATACAATCAATGTAAATGCGGAAGCTAAAGAGCAAGGTAGAGATATGCAAACTCCCATCGACGACTCCGGTATTTTTACCGAGGTATCGAGAAGCACGCAAGCTTCCCCCTAGTCCTCGTTGGAGCCCCTCTCAAGGAATCCCTCGCAAGGGCCAAGCTCCCGGTCGGGTAACTCCGTGGATAGCCTCGGGCCTTTCCCACGCGCAAGTGGGTCTTCAACGTGCCTTCCGGCAAGCCTCTCCCGGATGCTCCCCACCGTATTCACTATCAAGCTTTTGGCTGAAATGCCGCGGGCCTTGTTCCCTCCGGTACACGGTGGCGGCCACACCACAAACGCGGTTAGTGTGATCTCGCAAGACTACAAGCCCCTCCGATGTATAATAATGGTGCACGCAAGAACCGAGTGGTAAGAGGTATGCAAACCTCACTAAACACTAGGCCTAAACCTAGAGCAAGCGCATAAGCAGTTGTCTAATCAACCTAAGCACTTCGCAAAGCACCTACACTAATCACCTAATGAATCACTAAGCATTATACAAGTGGAGATCACTAAAATGGTGTATCAACACCCTTGATATGTTTCCGCAGCTCCACGTATCTCAAATGGCCGGTTGGGGGGTCTATTTATAAGCACCACTGAGAAAGTAGCCGTTGGGACGAAATCCCGCTTTTCTGCTACTGACCGGACGCTGATCACATCCTGACCGGACGCGTTCGGTCGCATTTTCGCCACTCTGGAACCTCTCTGTACTCAACTGGACTCTGCTGTCCTACGTCCGATCAATCTGCCGCCAGCGTTCGGTCTAGTGTCCGGTTACGCCTGTTGCCGAGCCTCTTGATCGGAGCATCCGATCACTTTCCTCTAGCGTCCGGACCAGCGTCCAGTCACCTCTGTGAGCTCGTTTCTTTGTGATCTTGCATACGGCTTGGTTCCTATCTTTGTGCTTGGACTTTCCTTGATATCTTGGGTCTTCTCTTGTGCTTCTAGGGTCTTGCTTATGGTGTTGATCATCGGATCATCACGTCGCCTTCGTCCAAGTCACGTCTTGCATCCTATTGAACTACAAAACAATCACTTGCAACTTCATTAGTCCAATTTAGTTGTGTTGATCATCAAACACCAAAATCCAAAGTAAATGGGCCAAGGGTCCATTTTCCTTACAATCTCCCCCTTTTTGTGATTGATGACAACACGACCAAAGCAAGCAAATAATAAAAATTTGCAATTTAAAATCTATCTACTTGCTAGGATGCAATGCAAGGGGCAAGGTTATATGATGCTAAAATATACTACTTGTAAGATTAAAAGATACTACATAAGAACTTATCTTGCCCTTGCAAAATGTCCCCAAGTGGCATTATGGATTTAAGCCTTGCTTCCTATAAATTCTCCTCATTACATAGACTAATCCATAATCCACTATCCTGACGCTGATCACATTCTGACCGGACGCGTCCGGTCATCCCGACCATTGGAGCCGCAATCCACTGATCAGACGCTGCCAGCGTCCAGTCACATGCCACCGGACTCGTTCGGTCGTATTTTCGCCGCTCTGGAACCTCTCTATACTCGACCGGACTCTGCTGTCCTGCGTCCAGTCGATCTGCCGCCAGCGTCCGGTCACGCCTGTTGCCGAGCCTCTTGATCGGAGTGTCCGGTCACTTTCCCCCAGCGTCCGGACCAGCGTCCGGTCACCTCTGTGAGCTTGTTTCTTCGCGATCTTGCGTACGGCTTGGTTACTATCTTCGTGCTTGGACTTTGCTTGATATCTTGGGTCTTCTCTTGTGCTTCTAGGGTCTTGCTTATGGTGTTGATCATCAAATTATCACGTCGCCTTCGTCCAAGTCACGTCTTGCATCCTATTGAACTACAAAACAATCACTTGCAACTTTATTAGTCCAATTTGGTTGTGTTGATCATCAAACACCAAAATCCAAAGTTAATGGGCCAAGGGTCCATTTTCCTTACCGCGTCGCCGCCTTTTCCAGACACGAACTCCTCGCGCGTGAGGATCGAGGCATGCGCGGTTATGAAGGAGCTGGTGGAGAAGGCCGCAGAGGCGGGGATGTACTCGATGTCAACTGGGCCGCACTGGGCGAGCTTCTAGACGACGTCGAGCGACGCGTCGGGGTTGGTGGAGGTGAACTGGTGGACCTGTATGTCGGTGAGGGAGTCGGCGCCCGGGAGCAAGCCATGGTCGGCGGGGTCGAACTCAAGGGTGATGTCGGCGCGTCACAAGTGGCGTCGATGGTGGCCGGCTCCTCCAGATGTGGGCGGCTGCTCGAAACAGCCCACCCGGTTTGTCGGAGAGTTGTCGGTGGGCTGCTCAAGAGCCCACCCCGATTGTCACGACGACAGCGGCAGCACTGGTCGAGCGGAGGGATGCCGTGGTCGCTTGAAGAATCCGCCCAATTGCCGGCTTCCACCCTCGACTCGTCAGCAGTGAGCAGAGAGGCGGAACGAGGACGCCCGGAGAGGCCTCGCACGCGGCATCCTGCACGGTGAATCTCCGATCCCACTTCGCTTCGTACCTGTGGAAGATTTTGCGGATTTTGTTGAGAAGGAGTTGGGTAGAAGGAGAGATCTCGGTAAGAGGATTCATGGTGTTAGCAACCGAGAATCGACAGCTCTGCTATCAATTGTTAGCAACTCTACTAGATTGGTTCACAGATAACTTGATTCAGGCAAGGAAAGTATAGGACCTCAGAGGAAAGGGAGGTTGGAATCAGCAAGCAAGGGAATAAGGTGCTAGGATAAAGGTCTAGAAGGAACCAGAGATAGGAATCCGGGTACAAGAGAGATAGAGAGTTGGGAGGAAGAACAGTAACTAGGGAGAGGTACTATGTTTTCTGATAATTGTTCGATGCCCTTCCTCTTGCCATCCCGGCCCTTTGTACTGGCTTGGCCTTGCCTTTGTTTCTGTCTGACAGCCCGGCCCCACCTGGCAGTCCATCTTACACGTATCCCTGACAAGATGCAAGTAGTCAACTGCACACGCCCCTGCCTTTCACTTGTGCAGTCAGTTTATCTTAGTTTGGTTTATTAAGTTTTTTAAGCAAATTGACAAGACCCCTGCCTTTCATTTGAGGTAGAAAAGAATAAACAAAACTTGGTTTTGGTAGTCACTCTATGAATCAAACAAACATGGGCTCATGTACAACACAATTTGCAAGAACTTCATTGCAGTCAACGAGAACTATTGCTCTCATTCAATATATCCCTCATGTAAAAAGTATACAAAAACCAGTATGAATTACAGCATAAGTTAGGCAACTCGCAAAACCATTTATAAATTCGAGGAGAAAAAACTTTGCTATCAATTTTGCATTATTTATCATGGCAAGTTGATAGAGAATATGTCCTGGAATATTTTGTCCATGTTAGAGTTCTGAGACACCACGACAAAAGCATAGCAGTCAAATTGTCCTCTATGATTTTGTACACCACGTTAGTAAGAGTTGTGTTTCCCAGGCGTCTGAATCCAACTGTGGAAACTATGTTGTCTTGTTTTTTTTTTTTTTTTTTGAGGGAAACATGAGGGGCTTCGGCCCCTACTGAAATTAATTAATTAAAAAAACAGTGCAGAAGGTACAAACTGGAAATGACAATACAAAGGAGGAGGGGAAGCAAAGGAGGGGGTTAAGGAACAAAAAAAGAAAGGAAGAAAATAAACAGTAGGAGACAGCTGTTGGCTAGACTAGATTTTGTATCCATTGCTGAATCTCAGGGAAGTATTTCTTCTTTGCCCTCCACAGGAGTAAAGCAAATTCATGCTTGAAGATTGCCTTGCAGTGTTGAGTTGACTCCTCCACATCATTGAAGATTTTGTTGTTTCTACACTTCTAGATAGCCCAACACATTAAAATGATGATCTCCAAGCAGAAAGGTTTGTTAATTTGGGCTCTTAGATGCTCAATAATCTGGAACGGGTCCAAATTTATCACTGGCTGTAGCTGTAGGATTCCCCAGCAACTTGCTGCAAATTGACAGCCAATAAATAAATGGGCGACTGATTCTTCAACCCCTTCATTGCAGAGGACACAGTTGTAGCTTGGAAGTTCCATGTTTCTTCGTTTTAGCAATTCTATAGTACTTAGTCTATCTTTCAAAAGCAGCCAAAAGAATACCTTGTGGTTATTCTGGCAGGAGCTCTTCCATAATTTCTTGAAGACTGCATTACATGGCATGAACCCACTGAGATGTTTATATGCCTGTCTTGAGGAGAACCTATTTGATGCCCAGAACTATGTTGTCTTGTTGCCTGAATACTTCGTTGTTCGTTCCTTTCCACCCAGAATCTTGATCATCTCATCTCTTAACTCATAAATGCCAACAAGCTCTGTTGCATTAGTGTGCTAAACCAATAAACGAGGATCAACAGTATTGATAAGTTTACAAATAGCACCATCAACTTTGTACCTCTCATGGCGCTTGCACACCTCTGTGGCACGGCTCTTGATGTCTCCTATCTCAGTAGCAATCTTATGGCAAAACTGAAACCGTATCGACAAATCGAGGCTCCTATCAATGTACTTTTTGAAGCACCTAGGCACGTTGGCCTACTCATTTCGCCTGCACCACACTCTATGTGGCAATCCACCTTACCCAGAATCCTTTTTTGGGTTAAAAATTTCTGGTTGTCCGCCATTTATCTGAAAATCAGAGGACAAAAAGGAGGAAAACAGAACTGACTTGGACAAGAGCACATTAATCTTCATAAGCATATCTTGAGGGTGGGGCGATTGGAATGGATTTCAGTTGCCTGCCTCAGCGCAGCCTGCGCTTGCTCCACATCCCCCTTGCTGGAGCCACCACGATGGAAATAAATGGTAATATGCTGCAGTGATGGCAGGTTTTGAAGGCCCAAGTTGAAACAGCCACTGCCGTCAGCGATTTCTATTGTCTCCTGCACATCAATTGGGAAGCAAACACTTTCTAGTCTTGGCATAGCTCCTAGCTCAAACACCACAAGTCCTATAAACCCCTTCAGATCACACTCTATTAGGCACGGAAATGAACCAGCACCGAAGAAGAATTTCCCAAGGATTCCGAGATTTCTGTGGTCCACGACCAGATTTAGAAAGCGGAGTGCTGACAACCTCCCAAGGATTTCAAGATCCTCTTGCAGTAGCTTCCTCACGGCGATGGATAGGAAGGAGAGGTTCAGTAGAAGCGAGGGATTCATCTAAGCTGGCAACGCAGAGAACCAACAATGTGGTAGTTCCAATCTACGAAGACATCGAGGAGCAACCCAGGCATCCATGTTGCATTCGCCAGAGACCATGATACATAGAGCCTGGACCTTCCACAGCTTGCATAAGCACTCCAGCAGAGATTTCTGCAAGCTGTTATTATGTCCTGTGCGGCAGACAATATCTAGTATCCTCAGCTCCGTTAGATGACCCAACTCTTCTACGATGTCTGTGGAGTCATCAATGCATAACATTGATAGCTCTTCAAGAGATGTTAGGTTCCTAATCCCTTTTGGTGCTCTTGTACGAATGTCAATGCGTAAGCACATCAAACGCCTTAACCGAACAAAAGTCAAAGGTAAGCTAGAAAGTCCATTTTCACTGACATCCAGTGTTTGTAGAAATTGCAGGTTTCCTATTTCTTCAGGTAGCTGGGCAATGCATGTCTTTCTTAATCCTAGGTACCTCAAGTGAAATAGATTTGCAATATGCTTAAGACTGCAAAGTTGTAAAATCTGACAATTTTGAAGCTCTAATACACGCAAAACTCTAAACTGATTGGTTGGCATTAGATTAACAGCAGGTTGAAAGGCAACAATAGACCTCACTTGTTGAATGCTTATAGTAGTCCACGGCACATCTTGGTCAATCTTGCTATTTTGTAGAGATAACCTCCGAACCATTGTGGATGCTGATGATTGATACACGTCATTCAGTATTGTGACAAAGTTTTCTTCATTTGCCAAGGAACAGATAAGATCATGCACCATATCATGTACACGGCAATGTTCTATCATTACACTGTACCCTTGATATGAGGGTTGGATTATACTTCTGTTAATGAGCTCACTGAAGTAACTCTCTCCAAGATCAAACAAACTCTCCCCTTGGTTTTCACATTGTATAAAACCTTCAGCAATCCACATCCATATCAAACGGTCTTTGCTAATTTCATAATCCTCTGGAAACACACTTAGATATAATAAGCAAGTCCTTAGATGGGATGGCAGATCATAATAGCTAAGTAACAAAATCCTTCTCATATTCTTCACATCTAAACTATTTTCCAGTGCAGTGCCAATAGAGTTGTACACCTTAAACCACTCTATTTTGTTTCCTCCTTTACTAGACAACAAACTAGCTATTGTGATGATAGCTAAGGGCACACCAGCACATTTCCTTAGTATTCTATTAGAAACATCGGCCAGCTGCTCATCAGGACATTTGACTTTGTCTTCATTGCCAAATATTCTTCTATACAATAGTATTCTAGAGTTGTGAAGGCATAGAGGTTTCAGCTTATAAGCACCACCAACTTGTTCTGCGACATTCAAAATACGAGTAGTTGTGATAACTCTGTATCCACAAATATTATCAGGCAGAGCACATCTTATCATTTTCCAAACTGAGATATCCCATATGTCATCAAGAACAATGAAGTATCTGTTTATATGGCAAACATAAAACTCATGTTATTAACAAGTTCTGATTCTGCTCACATACACTGCATTAATTAAGCTGACTAGGTGGATATCATACTATCATAGCTACAGCATTTACAACCTTCCACTCACTAGATCAATGATAAAAAAAAAGAGATATAGTGGTTGTTGCTAATGGGGACATGCAGGACAATTTCTTATTCTTTTTTAGATTTATTATTACTGCCAACTTAGTCTCTGCATATGGCAGTTAAGGAACAGTAGTGTGCAATGGAGAGTGGAAATTTAATGTTATGAAAAACAAAATATTAGCACCGTAACAAAATTTAATGTCCCCCCCACCCCACCCCTTCCCTTTGAACTCTTACACAACCTCTGCAAGTCTTATGCACCCAGGCACCGTATAATAGGTTATACAAGAGGACCAAAAAGATGGAGAAAGAGAGAAGAAGAGATGTAAGACAAGGGGCAAAGGGGTCAAAGTTGATGGCACAATGCACTCGAAGTGACAAAGTGTCAACTCTCAAATAAATGAACAGAGAGAAACTTGAGTGGTATTAAAATGAACCAGAACTGTTGAGAGGTATTTTTAGCTAAGTTGTGATCTTTCAATGCTACAACACAAAAGTTTCGAAAGAAAACTTCAGATACATGTGTGTTTAGCCTCCATACCTCTTGCTCTGAAGGAACTCGCTGATCTCATCAATAACATTGATCCTTGAATTGTTTCTCTTGGCAAGTTGATAGAATAAGTCCTGGAATAATTTGTCCATTTCAGGATTCTGAGTCACCGAAACAAAAGCAGAGCAATCAAATTGTGCCCTAAGCTTTTGGTAAATCGCATTAGCAAGAGTTGTCTTTCCCAAGCCTCCAAATCCAACTATGGAAACTATTTTGTCTTGCTGCCTGTATGCTTCTTTCCTTTCCACCAGAATCTTGATCACCTCATCAATGCCAACAAGCTCTGCTGCATTTGTGTACTGAGCCAACAAACGAGGATCAACATTTATCTTGACAGGCTGAGCAACAACACTATCGATCTTGTACCTCTCACGCCGATCGCTCACCTCTACGACACTCCTCTTGATGTCTCTTATCTCAGTAGCAATCTTACGGCGCAACCGAAACCGAGTCAACAAATCGAGGCTCCTATCAATGTACTTCCTGAAGCCCTTGGCCTGCTCATTCCCCTTGCCCCACACCACAAATGTGTCGATGCTGTCCTCGATGTCGTAGGACAGCTCTCGTACATCCCTGGCCCAAATCTTGTCTTGCTCATCGAGCTGGTCTGCCGGTGCCTCCGAGAGCTTCTCGAGGGCAACTTTCATGCTCTCAAGCTCGGCCTGTAGGAACATGATCTCCCCTTCACCCCCTTTTGCAACTTGTACTCGCCGACGAGCAGATTGCCAAGCTTAGCGAGAAGGCTCCGCAGTGCCCCCGTCACCACCTCCATGGATCTGTTGCTGAGAGAGAGGGAAGGAATAAGATTGCCGTGTGTATGTGTGTGCGCAGTGGGCAGAGTGAGTGGAACGCTCAATTGAACTGCGGTGCTCGAATCTAGGACTCACCGGACCCCGAATCTAGGACTCGTCACAGAATCCGGCCGCCGGCTCGCCGCATCGAGCCGACGCTGCGAGAGACTGACAAATTCCGCCGCCCGTTGGATCCAGGGTTGCTGAGCGGCCGTTGACTTGGAACAGGAAGAGGACTCGAAAAGCCCGTTGGGATCGGACGAGTTGCTCCGTGCCCGTGCGTCTGACTTTATGATTTTATTATAAGTAGCAAATATGCCCGGAAAAAAATCTATTAAATATTTTTAGGAACGATAATAAGAATGGTACATATTATTTATGTTTTACCATTTATAAATTCAAAAATTAATAGTTACAAATTTTTGTGGTGATGGCTATGACATCTGTAATATAATTTATTGTTGGCAACTATTAAGCCTATATCGAACTAAAATACAATTTTGATGGTTTTTTCTCCAACTGCAAAACACATAAATATTTAGATATAAATATATCAAATCTTTAATTTTTGTTCTATATATGTGCGGGTATAATGAAATATCGAGTTACATAAAAATTTATCAATAAGGAGTTAGTTACCGACGTGTCGAAGATTGGTCTATCCAATGATGATTATGATGAGAGACCTCTCTCAACTTTTCACATGCTAGCCCTCACTGTGGACTATAGAGATATATTTATTTAAACTGGATTAGATAAGTAATAAAGTGCTCAAGATTTCAGTTCACGTTTTGATTAGTTGATCTGTCGGCTAATCTAGATTTCAATAAGACGTGAACAATTTGGTATTAGAAATCTTTATTTTCTTAGAGATTGCAAAAGGTTATGGTTCAAATATCCATAATATTATTGATTATTTATTATTTATTTTATTGGAGAAAGAAAAAGATAACCTGGGCGGATAAATGAACAACCAAAAAACAATGAAAAGATCCAAAACAAAAAAAATTGCATGGAAACTGAAACGCGTACATGAACCAACGTAGGGAAAAGAAAAATATTATTTATTTATTAGACTAAAACCAAAGGAAACACGGTTTATAGGATTGGGTGGACACAGAATTAACTTTAGAAAAAAAAACAGTTACATGATTGCCGAAACCGAGCCACTTTAAGATTATTAGGTTGGACAAAAATATAAAGTTGTCAAAAATTTTACCTCTTTATTATTAGGTATAGATTAATATAATTAATTATTAAAAAAATATACTATCTCCTTTCTAAAATGTACGGTTTTTTCTAAGTTATTTTTAAATTTTGATTATTACGTTTATAATAAAAAAATACACCCATTTACCCTATCAAATTAATTTATTAAATAACCATTTGGTATAAAAAAATATTAAATAATCATTTTTTGGTGAATTCTTATTAAATAATTATTTGGGCCAATAGCTCTGCCAATACCTGGCAGTGGAATTACAACAGACCGGTGGAGCCAAAAAATATATTGATGTCAAAAAGTATAGTTTTGGAAGCACCTTTCACTAGGTTTTTGGCTTCTTGATTTTCAAAATGAGTGAAAACAGAGAGTTGTTTCGTAACTGTTTTAGGAAGATAGGGAGAGGATTTTTTATTTGTTTCAACCAAACAGTTTACAACTGTTCAACATTACATATCTTATAATAGTTTTTTCACAACTCACAGTTTACAACAACTTTTCCACTGTTCATAGCTAAATCAAACACATCCTAAGTGTGTCTATAATTTTATTAATTTTTTGTTACCTGAATCTAGATATGCATAGGTGAAAATTAATTTCAAGATTACGATTGTATCAACTCTATTTTTTATCCTAAAATCAATAAAGACTTCCTTTATCCAAAACAAAACTGCATGTCCCACTGGACGTAGCCAGGTAGTCTGTTGCGGCTTTGCAGGTCTGATGGTCCGGATCATTCACATCGCGAATGCCGACAAGAGAACAGCTCACCTTCACTCTATGTAAAGCATTACTGATATCATAATTTGGTTTCTGTAATAAGTTTTCTTAGTTTTGGCTTCTGGAAGACCTCTGCCTTTCGGTTGAGGTAAGAAAGGAGAAGCGCAATTTTGTTTCTGTAATCGCTCCATGAATGAATGAATGCAACAAACATTATTGGGTCATCTACAACACAATTTGCAAGAACGCCATTGCGCGAACAAGTATGCCTCTCATTCTATAAATCCCTCATCTAAAATCAGTAACAGATACAGCATAAGTTAATCAACTCGTGAAACCATGTATAGATTTGATGAGAAAAAGCTTTGGTAATTTTGCCAATTGATCCCAAAATGTACACTCTCTACCCTGACACCGAAAGACTGAAAACTCTGACTGTCCAAGCTACCTCTGATCATGCATGTACTCTGAATTTCCTATACAGCTATATCAAATCCAAGAAGCAGAGTCCAAAGCAGCACCATTGTCCATTGGCCACTAGATCGCGCACTCCTCCTGGCGGTCACCACCGGCGCCACCGAGGCACTCCATCGCGGCGACGTGCTTCTCGTGCATCGTGGCCAGCTCCGGGTGGCCATACCTCGCCGCAGCAACGGCATAGCACCCGAGCACATACAAGAACGCGAGGAAGACGAGCCCAAAGAACTGGAAGTTAGCGAGCTGCTCGGCGCGCTCCTGCGCGGCGCGCGCATGGCAGTCAATATGGCCGTCGGCGTCACGCGCGCAGCCGGCGGGGAGCATGGGCCCGTAGAGCGTGAACGCCGTCTGGTAGAACCAGAGCCCCTGCAGCGCGATGAGGACGCCCGAGGCGAGGTCCACCGGGAAGCTCTCTGGCAGGAGCGCCCCCAGGACGGTGGCGGCGACGCAGAGCGCCACGAGGACGACGAGGAGGTAGTGGTAGTAGCCCTCTAGCCCCATGTGCGTCGTGGAGTGGAAGTAGAAGAGCACCAGCTCCGCCGTGAACGCCGTCGCCGCGATGAGGCAGAGTAAGCCGTCCGTCAGCGGGAGGTACCTGTGTGTGTTCGTCGCCGTAAAATGGAAGTTGTCAGCTTTACTGATCTGGTATTACTGAAGAAACAATTAAAAGTACTACGTAGGGAGGGAAAACATGAATTCGGACTGGTGATTCGAAAGCAAACAGAGCCTGGCAGTTCAGCTCTGGTACTATTACACCTGAATCGCTTAAGGCCCGTTCGCGTGCTCTTAAACTCGGCTTTAATCTGCTTTTTTTTTTATCCAGAAAAGTATTTTTCTCTCACAGATTTCTCCAAACCATCCAAATTCCTCAAGAACCATACCATCCGAATTATTCCTTGCACTCAAAAACCACTGATAAGGTCATGAACTCATGATTGCCGCGTAGTGGGGCACGAATGCATGATTGCTGCGTCGTACTACTACTTCAAAACATGGCCCCGTCTTGTTAACAAACGATACGATATGGTTGCTCCCTTGCAGGGACAAAGATTCCAAGATGAAACAAAAGGGCAATATGATTGCAGGATAAACAAAAGGCTTCGCAGGGTTGAAGAAGCATGATTGCAGGGGAAAAAGGGTTAAGCAGGCACTCGTTCGGGTGAGGGAGATCAATCTGGGACCCCCTGTTCCCAACAGCACTCAAATGCAAAACAGAGCCAGACTGCACTTGCTATTGTATAGGTGCAGTAACACACTGGCCCCCACCTCGCACTTGTGGTAAAGGTCCAGCTCAACCATGTACCGTCAGATGCCAAAAGCTTTTCGTTCATTCAAGTAGTGAAGAATGGAGTCTATTCACTGTTGCATATAGTATAGCAACGGTTATTAGTGCTAACAGTAAAGCTAAACATTTTTTTCCAAAAAACAAAATGCAAAGTCAGTGTGGCAATTGCCTACTACACGGAGAACAGCAGCACATGCGCATTCAAAAAGGCACGCCGCCACGAAATTCCCTTTCGTCAAAACATGAATTTCTTCCACCAAAACATTGCTACTAGCGGTAGCAAGAGACAAGCAAGCAGGTCGTGGATGGATTTGCAGTAGGCATCACCGCATCAGGCAAGGCCGCGTTTAGTTACACACTGTAGCGTTTGTTTTTATTTGGTAATACTGGTTCTATCGTTGACTAATTAGACTCAAAACGTTCGTCTCGTAAAGTACAACTAAACTGTGCAATTAGTTTTTGATTTCGTAAACATTTAGTACTCCATGTATGTACCGCAAGTTTGATGTGACAGGGAATCTTCTTTTTGCATAGTGCCAAAATCTGTAAAATAAAGAAACTAAACAAGGCCGAAGTAGGACCACCAGCTCTTTGTGAGCTGGATGGACCACATGGCTGACGGCTGGGCCCGTCAAGAATCCAGATGCGGACGGCGCAATAGTCAAAAACCATCCGCCGCAACGAAGATTCGTACGCCCCCGCCACCCAACTAATCCAACCAACCAATTGATGGTAATAACAATGGCATGATGCCACCTTTTTCTTTTCTTCCAATCCCCAGGTACGACGCCCGTGGTGGCAGTTAGTAGCTAGTACTAGTACCATCTTCTTCATCGTGTTTATCGTGAATCCAACAGATCCTAGTACTATTTTAGAACGATCCAAGGTTTAATTTTACTATAATTAAATTACTAAACTTCGCCCGTCGGGGAAAAAAAAAGATGAAAAAAAGGCGAGGTTTGTAGCTGAAAAATCGGATCTTGATCACGCCGGCCGTGCCGCCGACGTTGACCGACGATTGAGACTGACCTGGGCCAGAGCTGGGAGGCGAGCGCGAGGGCGCCGAAGAGGAAGAACATGAGGAGCATCCCGCCGTGCTCCAGGTCGTTGAGGTGCGCCGGGTTGACCTCCCCGCCGTCCACGAAGATCCGGAGGTGCGTGGAGTAGAGCACCTCCACG